TGTACACAACTAACTATATAAGCGCAGATACAATACACAGACACTGACTAAAATACACAACAATAATTCAAATTTGAAATAAGCTACTGAAAACAGAAAAAAAAAAGCGATGAGTGATACATGCTGCAGATTCCAACTTTTTATAAAATTGAATAGAGAAATAAATAAGTTAAGAGGATCCATTCCAGATAAAGCGAAAAGGACCCCGGCCTTTCCACACCACTCACCACAAATGAAGAAAGAAAATATGAGCAAAGAAATTAAAAAAAATTACAAAACCTGTATGTCAAAGGCAAACCAGCCAGCGGGACCGATCGCATGTGACCATCATAAAATGAAATACATTAAATATTGATAATATGTGAACTGAATTGAGGCAAGTCTCACAAATTAAGTTTCAAATATAGTCCACAGGTCTCTAGTCGTCTAAAGATAGCACCAACGGGAAATGACCGATGTGCGCACATCTGACCCACCGCTAAGAAAATATAGACAACTTGATAGAATGTACAAAAGAAAACTACGAGTGTGCTAGGGGGTGAAGAATTCATGGTTAGAAAGAAATATATGAGGAAATATAGCGAGACAACGAGAAAAAGAAGATACTATCAAGGGTTTGTAAAAGAGATGAAATATATTACACAAGAATTTGTGTATTAGATTTTGTCACAAATGATCTCTTGATAATTGTGACCACATAAAATTGTATAACTAGTCTCATGGGCGCACACGCAAAGGCATTTGACTCATTCTCACTCAAAATAGAATAATTGAACAATATATATAAAAACAAAATTGAATAACTTAAACCAAATTGAAATGAATAATATACAGATTACAGCACTTACATAAAAAAGTATCCAGGACTTACATTGTCTCTACCAATACTACTATCTACATCAGGTACTCCGTATGATATCTGTATATGATGGGTAAGTAGCTAGGGCTTTCTTGAGAGATTGTAGCCATTGCATGGTAACACGTATTATTTGTGTTAAATATGTGTAATTTCACAATTATAGTTTGGAAGGAAAAGGAAATGGTATTCTATTAAACAGTTTTCTTAACAGTAACTATGTGTGAGCGGAAAAAGTCAAGCAAACAAAATATTACATTTTTTAACATGCAAGATAAAATGTGCGCCTCTGATGTCTGGAGCAAGCTCTGTTCACACGGGACATTTGCACACTGAAAAAGTAAGACAACGTGGTATGTTGTTCTCGTTCCACCAAGGGACAAGGACGAAAGGACTACCAGCCACTGGAGGGAGATACCAGAAACACGATCGACTGCTGGTGAACCTTCCAAACAGATGTCACCGTGGCGGGGGTCGGCGGGAGTACTACCACGGACGCGGGCTTCAGGTCCCGCGGGAGGGGTAGCAAAAAGAACGAAATGCACGAAACAGCATAACGGAGGGAGGGTAGGGAGGTCGGAAAGGGGATGGAGGGGAGGACTTGCTCAATACGAGGAGTGAGGATTGTTTGCACGCAAATGCCCGGTCGATATCTCTTATGATGTTACCCCGAAGTGCAGATTAGCCTAAGGGTGCAATGAGATTGATTGTGTGGCGCAGTATAGGGGCACGGACAAGTGGAACAGTGGAAGACTCTAAACAACAAAGTGGCAATGTCCCGAGCCCAGCTGTGAATACACAACACACTGTGAATCCAAGCTGAAAATGCATTACAGAAAGCATACAGGGGAGAAGCCTTTCACTTGCCCTTACTGTAACTTTAAGTCTGCTCAGAAGGGAAATCTCAATGTTCACATTAAAAAATGTCATCCAGCATTACTAGAAAACAAGGGAGCTTCACCAATCTTACAGTGGACCGGAGGAGCTTACTTGCCCGACAGAGAGTCACAGACAGAAAATTAGCAAGGTTTTGTAAAAAGTAATGTAGTTTTCTCTTAGAATTTAGGGAATATTGTTAAGCCTACCATGTAAGATGCAATTACTGTTTCTCAGAGCAAAGTATTGTTATGCAGCTTACTGGTACTTTTATGTAAATACTCATTCATTTATTCATTCATTCATTCAAGTACTCTCAAATACATGAACATATACATTCACTCACATTCACACATACTCTTCTCTTCTCTCTCTCTCTCTCTCTCTCTCTCTCTCTCTCTCTCTCTCTCTCTCTCTCTCTCTCTCTCTCTCTCTCTCTCTCTCTCTCTCCTCCTCCCTCTCCCTCTCCCTCTCCTCTCCCTCTCCCTCTCCCTCTCCCCTCCCCTCCCCTCCCCCCTCCCCCTCCCCCTCCCCCTCCCCCTCCCTCTCCCTCCACCTTTTCCTCTCTTCCTTTCCCAGACACTCTCCTTCCGTATCAGTTTGTCTTCTCTCCTCATATTCTTCTTCATTTTTCCTGCGTCCCATTGTCACAGTTCTCACTTACATATTCTGTTCTATTCTTATAAACATACCCATTTGCATACACAATCAGTCACTCTCATGCTTAATTGACACACACACACACACACACACACACACACACACACACACACACACACACACACACACACACACACACACACACACACACACACACACACACACACACACACACACACACACAGATATATGTATATATGTATACAGTATACATGTATTATATACAATATATACATATATATACAATATATATACAATATATATATATATATATATATATATATATATATATATATATATATATATATATATTATCCATATGTTATCCTTTATGTTACTGTTGCAATATGCAGATAAACCATCATAAAAGAAAAAAAAAAAAAAAAAAAAAAAAAAATGATGGAAATGAAACCTAGAACGAATTGTATTTGTTGATTTTTATGTCACTTGTATTCTTTGATTAGTCAATAAAGGTACTATTTTTAAAAATAACTATTTAGATGTTAATCATTACATATATAGTTTTCTTATTACCCTTTGGTGTTTGTTTAACTTTTTTTTCCTTTATTCTACTTAGATAATATAGAAATGAAAACTTTTTTGTGTTACTTGAAATATTTAGTTTTGTTACTCTTCCGTTATTCTTTATCAGCTAGAGTTTGTTTTGTTAGGAACCTTCTTTGATATATAACTGTTGATGTTCTTCATATCCAGTCATCAGAAATTATCCTTGTTTTTCCATAATTACCGGAGCCCAAAACAAATTTACTATTGTTTGCTTATAGGATTTAAATAATAACTTAAATATCATATATATGTTTGACAGTTATTAGATCTGAAAAAGTTTGTTTGATTTTTTTAGGTTGATTTTTAAAATTTTAGTTACCTCCGCTGGCAATCTTTTTAGTATTATCGTGATATGAGATATGGTACAACTGAGATATTTTGGCCCTTTTTTCTTCATTACATCTTTCTTTTCCTTCATATATTCAAATGATACAAAAAAACAGATATAACACTATTTAAATGTAAAGTAAGAAAATATTGATAAGACATGAAAACCATCTTATGGTGAAATAATGGTAGCATTGATCGCAGTATGGGTTGTTTGCTTTATATGTCGTTAATGGAAAAGAAATAAAGAAAGAGGGAACTATTATTATTATTTTTATTTTTATTTATTTTTATACAACCCAAGCATAGAATTGGTCAATTTAATTTTTTAAAGCACTTGCAAAACATACCAATTGTATACCTTGAATGGCCTGATTTGATGTATGAAATTGGTTTTAGTATGTTTTCACTTTGTAAGTAGAATGTATAACAACCTCCTTACCAGTTAGGTAGAATTTGATATTAGATGGGCGAGTGAGAAGTTATTATGTATTTGCAGGTCTGGGTATGGATCGGGGTTCTGCGTGTGAACAAGTTAATTTGTATGTTTTCATGTATATGTACATATATGTATACACACACATGTGTGAGTGAGAAGGTGAAGTGTGAGTGCATGCATGCATGTGTGCGAGTTTGTTGAGTGGATTGAGCGACCATATTTTAATTTACATTTTCGAAAAGGATGGCAATGAAAGACAGCTACCAATTTAGCAATTCTCTCTCCTAAACTTTTTTTTTCGTTCATTCTCTCTCTCTCTCTTTTCTATGTTGCCTTCATATTTTAGCAGTTGTTGCTGATATTTGGTCTTTATCGTTCTCCCCTTCAACTTACAATTATTAGAGGCATGAAGTTCTATAGAATATTATTATAGTATGCTTGTTTTTTCCAGTATTTTTTTTTTTTCTTCTTTCTTTCTTTCTTTCTTTCTTTCTTTCTTTTTCATGGTATACTTAGATTGCTGTATTTATTGTATGTTTAGCATATCTAGGATATTGAAAAAATCTGCAGGAGAAAAAGTAGAAAAACACAAACTAACATTTCCTCTCCCTCCCCCTCTCCCCCTCCCCCACTTCTTGTCCTCTCTTTCTCTCTCTTTGTAATAAAAGTAAGATAGACTCAGATATCTGAGTTGTGAAAATGGCATCCATTAAGTGAAAGTTTCTCAACCAAATGTTTGAAAACACATTAATTATGAAGATACAGAAATTAGAAATTTGTATTTTTTTTTTCTTTTTTCTTTTCTATTCTACTCCCCTCTCTTCTCCTCTCCTCTCTTCCTCCTTCCTTTTCATCTTTTTCTTAGTCTTTTTTATCATTTTTCTGTGCAGATCAAGACAGTAGCTATATGTCCAAAATTAAGAAATCATGTCAGAATTTAGGAGGAAGATATGCTCAATTAAAAGAGAAAATGCATACTGTTTTTCAACTGAAATAAGAAGGAACTTTTTCTGTTTTGATGTAATAAGAAGGAGCTCTTTAAAATTTGAGGTTCAATCTTGTGGACAGGAGAAATATGATGTGGCGTTTAGTAGTTTGAAGTTTCGTAAAGGAAGTTGTATCTGTAGCAGTAATGATTATCATCGTAAATTGCATCAGTTTAAGAAGATGGGGTAATTATATTTAATTGCCGATAAAGAGCATAATAATGTTTTTCGGAAATTCGTGCGAATGAAAGACTCCATCGTATGTGAACCTTTGCTCTCTTTCTTCTAGGGTCGCGGAGGGCAGGCGAATGCTGGTGACGACTTTAAGCCATACTCGTGTGTCTTCTGTCCAAAGAGATTTTCACGGCGGGACAACTTAACCCTTCACTTGCGTACTCATACTGGGGAGAAGCCATATCAGTGCCCCCACTGTGATTATAGGACTACAATAAGTTCAAACGTGTACCGTCACATGCGAAACAAACACCAACAAGAAATCGATGGAAAGCCATATAGGCACGCAGCAGCATCAGCTATAGGCATATGGGGAGTTCAGACACCACCGAATTATTGACATAGGAAGAAGTTTTAATTTCAAAATTTATGTTCAGTTAAAACCCCAGATATGATAAGGTACTTTATGAAGGAGGATTGATAGTAGAATTGTTTTTTGAGACACATGGGTATTATGCAGATCAAGAATTTTTATTCTTTCTGTCTATCGCCGGCAGTTTCTGTGTCAGAAATACGATCATGGCATCAGATATACAGTATAAATGGTTTGAGGAAAAATACAGAGGCATTGTATAGTGTATGTAGTAAAATGATACCATTGAAAATGAAGTTTTAAGAATAGGAACAGGGTTGTATTTTAAAAAGGTTTTGTTATTTTATCTAACACTTGATTTACATGTCATAGAAAATGAAGTGAGGAAAAGCCAGAAGTCTAGGAGATTATGCAGATTAAAAAATGGTTTCTCCAAATTGAATATCGGGTTATTTACTTACTCCATACTTTTTTCTTATGTTCGTCAACATCTTTACTCAAGTTAGGAGAGGTTTAGGAGGCAGACTTGATGGTGTAGTTAAAAGAAGAGAATTACAATAAAGAAATACACAATTTTTCTTTTCTTTTTTCTTTCTTTTCTTTTGATGCTTATTCTGCTTTTATTACATTGTCAGAAATACAAGGTCTTCTGAAATTGAATGAAAGTAAATGGTCATCTGGGGCTGTTTTGCTTATTTTATATATTTGATGTAGTTACCTCTTTTATAGAAGTCCTTAATCCTAAATCACTATACTTTGCAGTCCTTTTATCCAAAAGCCAGAATTGTGATTCCTCCAAATGGTAAAAAAAAATAAATTACCAGACTTATTTTCTCTCCCTTTCTTGTCTTTCTCTTTTGCCTTTTTTTTTCAGTTAATGATGGAAAATTATGTATATGTGCTTTCATACAAGAACAGCAAACACATTATGCCGGTCTCTGATGTATAGTATATTTTATGATTTGATTGGTGCAGCATTAAAAGACTTCATCTCGGACATGGCTTTATTATTTGTCTCCTGAGTTTGGTAAAAAAAAATATTTTATTATTGGAAGGAAGTTGTATTAATGAAGACAGCTTTTTTTGTTGTTGTTCCCCCATGTCCTTCCATCTTTATCCTACACTATCTAAGATTTTACTTTGTTACCATAGACAAATGTAATTATATTTTAGATTAAAAGGATTGTGTCAAAATGAATATGTGAATACAGTGTAAGAAATGTATTCTTGCTGTAGTTTATAGGGAAATACAGTTTTGTATTAAACGGTGTACAGTATAATGTATAACATTTGCCATATCTTGTAAAAATATAGAAAGAAAATTATATATTTTCATTTGTAGATAATTTTCGAAGGAAGTTGCAGTCTTGTCCATATATTGAGAATATTCATCTTCAGGTGAAATGAGAATTGAGAAATGTCTTAGTAATATCGAAACGTGGTCTTGCTATTGTCAACTTATTTACTATAGTTAGAGAATAATGTGTATTAGATTTTAAATTAAATTGAACAAGAATTAAGTGTAAGGTAGAACATAAGAGAGAGGGATGCAGATAGAAATGAAAATCAGTCAGGATGTAGTTTGCGTATTTATTGTATGCTTGTGTGAATAATTGTGCATGTATTTATGCATGTTAATGAAGTTTGGGAAGAATGATGAATGCATCTTGGGTTTGTATTATCCATTTGTTAACAAGGCAATGGATTGAATGCATATGGTTGTTTATATTTGTGTGTTGTGCAGATTAACTCTTTCATGTTATTTTTGATGATTTTAAATAAGATCATATGATTAAGCAGTAATTCCCATTTAGTTGAAAAAAATATGGTTGATATACAATTAAACATTGTCTACATTTTCTCTGGAAGACCTCATTATTTTAAAAGTGTTCTGTTTTTGTGATATTAGGTAATCACTGTATCAATATCAGGAGATTTACTCAAGTATTTTTTTAGTAATATACTGAGTTAAAAACATGCAGATTGCTCCACCCTTTGTTTTTTAATCTTTTGACAAATTCCTTTGGATCTTGGTGCTTGGTTTGCATTAAAAGTAATTGCAAAAAAAAATTGGTGTCCAGTATCATGAAAAAATTGTTTATTGCCTTGAAGAACTTAATGATTTGAAATGAATGGGGGTATGAGTTTGTGTGTGCCTTTGTGTGTTACTTATACAGCTATTTGAATTTTGTACCTAATTGCAATATTTGATTGGATACAAGACAATTTGAAAACTTGATTTTGTTGGTTGCCTATTATATTTCTTATTAAAATGTATCTTCCAAGAGTAAGCATTATAAAGTGCCAATTTGATTTTCCTTCTTTTTCAAAGGATGGAGAAAGATTTGTCGTAACAATGATATTTGAAAAATAAAAGTCCACTGTGTTTACATCATGTGTTTGTTAATTTCTAAAATATTTTGATACCTCCAAATGCATATATCATTTCAATTTGTTTCTAAATATGCCAAAGACCCAATCATTTTGTAAACTTCAAAATGCAAATGTATGTATGTTAATAATAAATTACACATCTGTTGCTTGGTTCTTGTTTATAGATATGCTTACTAGTGCTACCATATTTAGCCTTAGAAATGCAAATCATAAAAAAATTAAATGGTGACTAACACATGAATATCTATGGCCACATACTCTTAAAACAAGTAGACATAAAAAGACACCCACACCCACACACACACCATCAGTTGCCTCTGCGATTTGGCACACGTGCACATAATCACACACACTTAAACATTTCCAACATCACAATGGTTTGAGCAAAGATCACATTACAAGAGCGTATGGATACGGTCAATTTCTCTGAAGGTAATGTGGTACATGGTCAGAGGCACCTCTCCACCCATTTAAGAACAAACCTCCCTGGCTGTGGATGCAGTTAACAGGAAGATTGTGATAAGTAAAACAAATGGCCATTCCCTGCTCATAATAGGGTTGATAATCTTTGGTACCTTCTCATACCCTAAGCTGAGCATTTACACAAGCCAACCAAGCGAAAGGTTTGTGTGTTACCTTTTAACTTGCCAGACTTGAGACATTGAATTACTTGCCATTTTATAAAGCCACCTAACAGTATCACAAAGAAATATTAATATAAAGATAAGGTTAGGAAATGCACAGTTAAAAGGAAGATACTACTTGAAGTAGAAAAAGAAAACAGAAAATAGTTACCCAAAGTTGCTTTTGATGGATGAATCACAGTAACTAAAAGACTCCTCTCCCAAATTATGAGACCAAAATAAAGAAACATATAGGATGGGATGTAGATAGGCAGAAAGACAAGATATAAGAGTAAGAAGGAAGAGTTTATTTCTTAAGGGTAGGAAAGAGACCAGAAAATGTTTGAAACTAAAAGGCATTGGTAAATATTTTGAATGCCAAAGAGTAAGGATGATATAAAACATGGAGTATTAAGAACTTTGTTGGATTTTTTTTTTTTTTTTTTCCTTTTTTTTCCCCTTAATCATGCAGGTAAAAAAAAGGTATATGTATAACTGAAAATATTTTAGGAGCTGTATATGTATCTCTTAACTAATGTATAACAATGGTTAGAAAAAAAATGTAATCAAAAGTTTTAAAAAGTTTAAAATATCATCTTCATTCTCATATGTACAGTACAAATATTTTCTATCGTTCACATTCTCTTTGGCCTTCCCCTTTCTGCATACCTTCTCCAACTCGCTCCTCCATCATCCATTTATTCACTCATTCCTATTCCTATATCGTCTCCTTCACCTCTCACTTCCTTGTCCTTGTTTCTAACAAAGGAAAGCCTTTTTTTTTTCTACGATCATGTTATTAATTTCCAAATAGACATTGTAGCTTAGTTGCCGCAGTCCGAGAACTAGTTAGCAAGCTTTGTAGGTGAAGTATCCTGTTGTTGAATGGAGGAGTATCTCGGTGATTTTTGCATGGCTTCTTCTTCGACTTGAATTGGGACTGTTTTGTTTTGTTTTCGTGTAGTTGCAAGGAGCTTTTTTACGAAGACGAGATTTTGTTTTTATTTTTTATTTTAGCCTATATTGTGATTCTAGTTGTGTAGGGGAAGGGTCAAAGGTGAAAGGAAGCTATGAGGCATAGTGTATTGTCTGCCAGCGTTGATTATTATAGTACATTTTCAGAAATTCGCAATATGTTATGATTACATTAAGTGCCTCCTGTAAATTGTAGAGGATAATCTTGCATTGCATTTTCTCATGCATATCTAATTACAGCAATACACTTAAAACAGACATCATACATTGTTCCATATCACAAAACATATTTCTCTCTCTCTCTCTCTCTCTCTCTCTCTCTCTCTCTCTCTCTCTCTCTCTCTCTCTCTCTCTCTCTCTCTCTCTCTCTCTCTCTCTCTCTCTCTCTCTCTCTCTCTCTCCCCCTCCCTCCCTCCCTCCCTCCCTCCCTCCCCCCTCCTCCCCCTCTCCCTTTTCTTCTCTCCCTTATATACTCTTCCCTCTTTTGTTCTCTGTTCTCACATGTATTTTCAGATTCAGAAATTTTACACACATCTGCTATTTACCAATGGTTAAAACAAAACAGCAAGGCATTAGAGAAACCTGGAATAGATGTGTTATCAGACTCATCAATTTACAAGGAAATATAGCATTGTACAGGAAACTATTGTTACTCTCCATCTCTTCCTTCCTTTGCATCCTTGGCATTTCCTCTCTTCTCCTTCCTTTGTAGAAATCTCTAGATAGAAACCTCTTATATTATACGGAGAA